AATAATAATAATAGAATAATTGCTGTTAATCTGGCTTGTGCTTCAAGTGAGGAAGGGCACTGGGAAAAATTGACTCTGAGGAGCAGGTTTCTGTCAAGCAAAGGCTCAGCCATGCTGGCATGTGGGTGAGCTACTGCACTGGGCAGAGCTGGGAGAAAAACAACCTGGGGGGGGAAAAAAAACACTAGGCTGCCAGGGAGCTGCCTCAAACCTCCCCACTTCTATGTGGTCCCACAGGGAACAGCTCTTCCCATAAGGAATTGTCACTGCCAGCAGCCTCAAGCATCTCCCAAGGTGTGGGCACAAGGACAAGAGGCTGGAGATGTCCCATCAGCTCCACGTGCCACCAAGTCTCCCTGATAAAGCCAAAGGGATACCTGCCACACAGGAGGAACACAGGGCTCATCTCAAAGGTACATCTGAGATCAAGACTGGTTTATTTTACTTTCCCCACCGCTCTGGCACAGAGGCATCCAGCACCTTGTCTCCACCTGGCACCTCATGCACTCAAATCCAAGGGGAATGCACAAGGACTGTGAAACACCCATTGTCTGAAGAGCACCTGAGGCCTGAATGGCACTTTTGAGGACACTCTTCCCAGAAAACAGAGCTCCAGGCCACCCGTGTTCCCAGCTCAGGGGTTCAGACCAGCTGGGACAGAGACCAGCGAATTCTCATCATAACAGACCCTTTGCATGGGGTTTTGATGCCTCTTCCTGGGCCACACAGTTCCATAAACATGTGCATTTTAACAAGGGGCAAAATCCAGCCCTGAAATCATTACCTGCCACAGGGAGGTACACCAGAGCCAGGCAGGTAGGACGTTCCAAGCCCTCTGGAACTCACACCAGCTGGTACCACCTGCCTCTCAGTACAGCCGGGCACAGGTCAACATAATAAATTACTCAATTACCAGAAAATCCAGTAGGATTGAATACATAATTAGTGTCCTTAAAGCACAGAGCAATCAGCATTTCTGTTTCTTGGGCTCTTTCCTTGCCCTGCCTTTGGCAGCGCCCAGGCCCTGTGTCCCCTCACACAGGGACTCTGCTCAGGGGGTCCCGTGTGGTCACTCCTGTGACTTGGTCAGGCCCTGGAAGTTGGGCTCTGTGCAGGGGGGCAGTGCTGCCTGCCGGCTCAGCAGCTTCTCCAGGATGGCTATTTCTGCATCTCGTCTCTCAATGTCCTCAAATGGAGTCCAGGACATGTCGTGCTGGAGCTTATAGGCACCGAGAAATTCGTGGGGAGTGGTTCCCCATTCCTGGTGGGGAAAGGAGAGACTTCATCAGTGCTCAGTTTCCCTTGCAGCTGGGCTGTGCTGTCCCTCAGCCCCCAACCTCTGATGCACTCCCAGCTACGTGACCATCCCATTTCTTAACCTAAAAATAGGCTCAGCTACCCTGAGTCCAAGATCAGGTCGAGCCCCAGCACTGCTGATGCAGGGAGGCTTGGGGGCACAGGACCTCCCTGACCTGCCCAGAGGTTTGCCCTGGAGCCTTCACCCTGCATGTAAGAAAATGGGTGGCCTGTAAGGAGGAGACCTCCAAGACCACTCCTCAAGCTGCAGGCAAACTCAGTCCCTGGGCTGAAGCACCTAAAGACAGCACCCTGTCAGGCAGCCACACTGGCCAAAAAAGGCTCAGAGGAAGAACTGCAGGGACCAAAAGGCAGAATTCAGGTCCATACACCAAAGGACTTCTTGCCATCCTCCACCAAGAGCCAGAGAACTCCATAAGATGGCTCTGGCCCCAGCAGACTAACCCAGACCAAAGGCAAAGGCCAACTGAGCAGCAGCCAACAAATGCCCCCATCGAGCTGCTGCTTTTTTCTGAGGTCCACATGTTCCCAAACACCACAAACATGCCTTTTTTTTCCCCTCCCTGCTCCCTCAGGGGCCGTGACCACTCACCTTAGGAGACAGGATGGAGAAGTATCGCTGCCCACTCTCCCTCCTGTACATGTAGTAAATGTTTCCTGGCTTCA